GAGAAAAGTAGGGAATTTATGTTTTGAATAATTTCATTTTGGTGGCGACATCTAGCAGCGCGAGGCGGAAACTATTTCACGACAAACTTGAGCAGTTCCCCGAGAGATGGCGCCACATTTGGCGGAGTTTTTATTTATTTAAAAAACTGAATATCAGTTAATTATTATTATCTTATTCAACAATTAGAAGAGGGTTTATGATAATTACGACGTAAAATTAGACGAATATGCAGAAGAAAGTAAAAAATGAGAATATATGGGAAAAATTAGTTCGGACCCCGCCGCTAGATGGCGATACCATTTGTGGGTCCATTAACTGCCGTTCGTGCTTTTCTATATAGCATAATACGAATGCAATGAATGTTATCAATAATATACTATCATTTGTAATAATTACAATTTAGATAATTGAAATAATTATCTTTCGATATGGTCGAGTCAGAAAAACAATGTTTCGGGTGACAATTTTCATCTTTCAAAAATGTAATCTGTTATGTCAGAAAACTTCGATTTTATTTAATAATAATTTTTATAAAAACAATGACAGTAAATTATTTTAAATTATGCTTAGTACAAATTAGTGTATTTCTTGCTGTGATTTCACAAAATATAAAACTTGGGCAATGTGTAAATGCTCACGTTTCATTAACAGTAGAAGGAGAAGGATTTCATAGGTTAGTAGAAACATTCTTTTTTTCTGAATTAGATGGAGATCTAAATGGAGATTCAAATATTACAAATTTTCTATACTATCTAAATTAATTATTTATTTGCATTTAATCGCCTTACGAAAATGAATTTGCAGATACTTAATATATCAAATAAATTTGGATAATTTAGTAGATGGTTGTAATATGGCTCTTCATTTGAAATTACCACCTACATTATATACTGATATCAATGAATTGAACGATTTAGGGAGACTAGGAGTTGTAAGTAATAAATTTGTGTTTGCCAACTACATCACTTTATTTAAATTCAGCTTTTACATTTGTTCTAAAGTGTTTTCATGAATTTGATTATTCATGAGTTTTATGTTTATTACACTTTAGACCACAGCATGTTCCATAGGGGAAACAAATGTAGAATTATTTATGGAGAAAGCAAACTCCCAAAATGTAACCATATGTTCACCTGTAATTGGTAATAAGTCTACTTTAATGTTTCCTATACACAAACGTTACCAGTACCCTAGCGAGAATAATACATACATGACTATTACTCTACCGAAACCAAATTTACTTTTGGGTTGTAAAGAAAGAATTAGAAAGTACAGAATTTCTAAAATTGATTTATGTTCTTCGTGTGCAGAAGTTGTTCCTAAATGGAGAGAGATTACATACATTTTGGTAATTAGTAAATTTTTACTATATAAAAGCATTTGGTTTCTTTAGTCATATAAATAAATAAGTATTACAATCTTTATACATTTCATTTATAGGAGAAAGAAAATACATCATGGTCTATACCAGTTGGTAACTTGCGTATGTTAACGACAGTAACTTACATCACATTATTATTAACTATTCTGTGTACAATGTTTCTCATGCGAACAGTTTGGAAAGCTGTACCAAGTACACACGAAAAACAAGAATAATACAATTAAAATGCATTTTTATTACATAAGTATACTTTAAGGTGAAATCACATCAATGCTTTTTGTAATACAGTATTTTCGAAAATTAACATAAACTTAATTATACTATACTTTTATAATAAATAAATATAATACATTCATAAGAATATTTATATACAGTAGTCACATATTGAAATCCTTTTCTACAATATAATGAGAAAAATAGGTGTAATAAATAATAACTTTATACATGTTTTTCACTCACATCAGTTACAATAAATGAAATATCGTCAAATTTATCGTTAAACATTACGTTTTTCTTAGTGTCATGGCTGTGTTATACGTTTTTTTCGATTTCCGCATGTTCGGCGGCTTTCGTTTTTTGCGTGTACCCATTTTTCATCGATGATTCTGTTACCGCGTTCAAAACGGTGTCTTTAGTTTTTTCCACAGGATCGTTCCATTTTTGAATTTTACTCGTGCCAAATAAAATAAATAAAAGATTCCCAAGGAAATATATTACAGCTGACAAAAAGAATATATTTCTCCACTCTAAAACACTAGTCTGAAAAATATATAAATATAAATTAGTAATTGATAATAACGACCTTTTATCATTTTAAAATTTATCACGGAATTTCAATCTTCGGAATTTGTAATTTCTACAATTTTTATAAGAACGTTGAAGTGCATTGAATTCTTTGAAATTTTCAGATACTTTTTACTCGGATAATCTGGAAAGTAACCTCAATTTTCTTATATGATACACGTATATAAAAATATACATATATATATAAAGTATCTGAAAATTTCAAAGATTAAAATATAATATATTATTTTCTATCGTGTTCGCTATCTGAACCAGTACATTGAGATGTACAAGTAAAATGTAGGGAAAAAAGATAAGATAAGAAAAAATTGTATTCAAAGAAAAGGCCCAGTGAAATTTTTACATACATTACATTTGGAAAATTGAACTGAAAAATTGAATTGAATTTTGTTAAATATACAAACATGTTTACATACCGGATCTTTGACGACAACACTGGCAGCAAGAGGAGCCAAAATGCTGCATACATTTGCAGCCGTGTTTGTAACTCCCATTAAACTACCAGCAAAATTTGGACTGAGATCCATATGATTCACGTTATGACCGCAGTAAATCGCAATATTACAAGCAACGGCAATAACTAAAATCGCTATCGCTACATCAGGTCGTTCCTTATCAACATATCCAAGACCGATTAATGCAGCCGCCGGTATCCATTGACCGATCGTGTTGCAAACTTTCCTCGAAGTTTGAATGCTAAATACATTTCGTCTGATGAGAATATCCGAGAAATAACTAATTGGAAAACTACAAATCCATGCCGTGAAGTACGGTAGTGCAGTCAGCATACCATTCTGAAAGAAATTCGTTAAGGTTATGTTAGATTCAATTAACCAAAACATGTTCGTTAAATTTCTGATTTAGATAGTTTCAAAAAGTAAAAAATTCGGATTGACATTGTCGCGCCAAATAAACAAATTCAAATAAATTCAAATAGATTATCGAAATAAATCTGCTAACGATATTAAACAGTATTTCGTTGAACTGGATGCCAGAAGTAATTTGTTTCGAGAATATTTGACGGTGTCACCTTTAATTTTTTATTTATTTAGTAAACGAATGATTTATTTCAAATATCGTTTTAATATTTACAAATAACGAGAATATATTGAAAGAATACAAAAAAAACCGTGGAAAGTTTATTATTCATAAACTAGTTTTTGCTCCGAATCTAATTGGATCTCGGGATGAGAATATAAAACTTCGATACAAGACGTTATTGGAAATACATTTAGCCGTTTAGTCGCGATCGTGTTGACACGGGTAGCATAACAAATGTCTTCGCCGTGATTACATTCTATTGCTATTCAAATAACGTGTATTCAATGACCTTAACCGCTATCTTTCTCAATTCGTATGACGAAGATACGTATTCGAGTAACGTAATATTCGACTTTGGCAATCGCTATGGGACAAGTTTGGACAAAGCGTAGTTGACACTTATGGTTTCACGCATTATTGACATGGATGTAAAATAGTTTCATTGACTTGATAGTTTACTTAATTTATTTTTTATCTATAAAAAATAATAGGTGTAGTTGATGTAGAAAGCTGAGGGTCGTTAGAAAGCTACTGATGTTAGTTTTGATAATACTTAAAAAAAAATGTATATATATGTAATGTATATGTATATGTATATGTAATGTATATGTATATGTAATGTATATGTATATGTATATGTAATGTATATGTATATATATGTATGTATATGTATATATATGTATATATATGTATATATATATACATTTTTTTTTAATGTATTACCAAAACTATATATATATAGTTATATGTACATATACGTATAGATACATATATAAATTTTTTTTTTATACATATATATATATATATATATGTCGAATCGAGTAACCTCCTCCTTTTCGAAGTCTGATACTGATAAGGTAACAACTACATCGTCTCAATCGAAAAAAATATGTTGAATTGTTGAGCTTGAGATTTTATAAATTGTCCAAAATTCCTGTAAATCTCTGGAAGTTAAGGATCGATAGAAAAGGCTAGACACGTTAAACGTTTTCCGAGTAACGTGATTCTTAAAATACGTATGCGATATGTACGATGTACTACTTACTTGTTTGATATTATAACCCAAGACGGATCCCATGTACGAAGGAATTTTCGTTAAAAGCATCCAAAAGCCCCAATTCTGAGCGGATTGTGTAATCAGTAGTGCCCACATTGGAAGACTAGTCAACATCGCAAACCACGGAGTTGGTAATATCTAAAAAAAAAAAAAAAGAGTAACAATTTCGATATTGCAATAGCATTTCCTTTAACAAAGAGACGCTCGAAATCCTCGTCATGTAAATTCCAATCAAACTGATACGAAATTGCAGATTTATTATACAATATTGTACCACGATCGTGATTTAAACTATCCTAGATACAATTTTGAAGTTAGTTTCATATACTACTTTAATGACGTTATGATAACATATCTAAACGTGTACCCTTCAATTAAAATAATTTTTGTAAGTCTCAGAACTAGTTCCATGATATCAAATACTTCATAAATAGACGAACGGAACATTTATACATATTATTCAATTCCAAGCGAAATTATGCACTGGATATAAGAACACATCGAAGAGATAATTTGTAATCGGTATTCGTAGTATCCGCACGTATCGTCGCTTGACCCCTCGCTGTACAAACTCCAAAGCGGGGAAAAAGAGGGGCCCGTGTCGTTACTACTCGTGAGTCATTCAAGAAGCGCGAAATTAATTCAGATTCGCGAATACACGTCGATTATTTTCGCTACTCTCGATTATTTGCAATTGTATGCAAGAGGTTAATATTGCCTGAGATATAAAATACAACTTATTCGTGTCTGACCATTTCTCGCCAATTCTACTTGCGGATTTCGTTAACCCTTTGCACTCGAGAGGTGACTCTCAGTCACCGTTAGGCTACACGCAGCAAATCTACAATACCTAATGTTTCTTTAGGTTTCATTTCTTTGGAGCTCAAAGTGTCAATAAACCTCATCGCTGAGGTAAAGTTGACCTTATTCTAAAATCTAGCTAGCTTAGAATTCATTGCAATAGAATGCTAAGAAACGTCTCGAAAGGGCTAACATTGCAACCCCTTTTTGAAACCTCTGCGTGCAAAATTTCAGCTTTCTAGGTTGAAGGGTTTAGCTTGGACGTTGATTGTAATCGGTAGACTGCGGATCTTTATGCATCTATAGAAAATTCGAATGTGCAAGAAACTACAAAATGCAAGCAATATGCATGAATATAAAAAAGATTGCAAGTAAAGTTCGTGTCATAATATTTCCATAATAAAATAAATGCCTATTTAGATTCAATTTTTGTAGACACGTTCGCGAAAATTTTATTTTGCGTAAATATCCGCAGTCTAGTAATCAGTCAGGGCTTCGTGCTTCATTCTTATATGTATATTATAGATGTACGTACCTCCTCTGTTTCGGTCGCACCAAGGCTAGTTTCGATATATTCTTTTTCATCGTGAGGTATTCTAGAATGGACGGCTGGCGATTCCTTGCCAATGATAAAGAAGATGATACCAGAGATAGCAGTGAAACTTCCCCAGAAGTAGAAAACGCTAGGCCACCCCAAAGCGGATGCTGACAGTACACCCGAACTTAGCAAACAGATCACGTTCCCGATCCAACCTCCGGCATAAACGAAGGTCGCTGAAGTTACACGTAACAAACATGTAATACAAATAATACAGACAGTCATAAAAAGAAAAATCATTTGTCATCAAAAGTACAAACATTTGAATATCTAAAACATTGAAAATTCCATTTGCAATTGTTTTGCCAATTAATTTGAAAAGTGTCCATTGTCTAATTATATATAATTATACACAGTCGATTGAAACGTTTCGTTAGAATATTATATTATTTGAACTAATATATAAATAACAATATGTGAATATTTATAGAAGGATGTCGTTGAATACGATTACTTTTAAACACGCTAGTGAAAGAATTGTTTCGATAACTTCTTAATTCGGATATGTATCTATAAATTTAGATCTTTAGTATTAATTGTGATGGAGACAATTATTAATAAGTACTTACACATTCTCCCTCTTTCCTCCACGGGTGCCCACTTTGAAAGTAACGTATGAAGGCATGGAAGTACAGTCCCTTGACAGAGACCGGCGATAACTCTAAAACAGCAAACAGCTTCCCAGCCGCAGTAAGTGGCGGCAACGGGTATACAAAGGGTTACCAAACCGCATATAAGCTGAGCCAGCGCGTAAAGTTTCTGGGCACCCCAACGTTGTGCTATTATACTTCCAATAACTTGTGTGCATATGTAACCCCAGAAAAAGGAGCTCAGAATTGTATCCTTGGTCGAATTGTCCCATGGAAATTCCTTTAACAGAAACAATCAACATTTATTTATAATATCTCTATGGCCGCCATTATGAATGATTTGTACAAAAAATATACTCCGAGGTTGTTTCAAGTCACAGTAAATAATACCCAAAATTTAAGGAATGTACGGAATGTACTCTCCCAAAATTTAAGGAATGTACGGTAAATCGTTCCCTTGAAAAAAAAAATCATTTGCTCGTTTGCACAAATTTACATGTATTTCCACTAGGGGTGTGCGGGATTCCCGAGAATATCCGGGATTCCCGAAAATATTCGGGATTCCCGAGTTGATTCGAGGTTCCCGAGAATACACGAGATCCCGCAAAAATCCGGAATTCCTGAGAATGTACGGGATCTCGAAAATGTTCGGGAATTCCGAACGTTTACGGGATCTCGAAGCTCTGGGGAATCCCGAATGGTTTCCCGACCGGAATCCCGCACACCCCTAATTTCCACCCTTAGATGTCCACCCTTAAATATGAGGAGGCTCGTCCACTGGTTGACAAGCGTAATCCCGCGTGGATAACTAGAATTTAATTTGAGGGGTCGTACAAGGATAACTAGTCCTGACAGAGAAAGTTATAGAAGGTGTCCTAGCCGAAGGAAGCCACCTACAAGTCTTCATTATCTTTTACGATACGTTTATAGCAATTTTTGGACAAATTTATTTTCTAACTTTAATTTCTTTCGCGTGTTTATGACGTGTATTTCCTTATTGTACTACGAAGACATATTTCTTATGTTGCAATTTGTAGTGGATGGAAAAATAAATTTAGCAGTGCATGAGTTGTGGCTTCTACATGACCTCGAACACCAAAATACAGTGAAGTCTCTTTAAATGCACTTTCTCTACGATAAATGCACAGAAACCATTCCCACCACTGGGAGGTATACTTTGAACCCTTGAGGGGTTCAGGAGTTCGATCGCACGTAGTGTAACGTGATCCAGGATCGGATATCTCGGTAAAACGATACTAACTCTTTCGTAATGCAATAACGCAGAAATTTGTTTAAAATTATAATTTAGATTGTTCAACAACGACAATTTTATTATCGGTACAATTAATAATACTGAATGCGGTTACAGAGCAGGATATACATAATTGATTGTAAATAAGTATCGATAATAGCGATGTAGATAAGTATACATAAGAAAAAAAGTCATACTTCGAAGTCAGGATTCGCAGAGGAAGCATTTGTCATCGCTTCCAATGTCACGGACGTGGTGACTCTAATAGCATAGCAGCACATGAAGCCTAAGGCCATTAAAACGACCTGCTCGTGTCTACGTCCGAACCATGCTGTAAATTACAAAAAGATTATTTTATTGTCCACTAGCTGTGGAATACTAACGTTCCAACCCCTTTTTACCCCCTTAGGGGGTTGAATTACGAAATATCCTTTCTTATTCCTTGCATACATCATAAAGGAAAGCTCTGTGCAAAATTTCAGCTTTCTAGGTTCAAGGGTTTAGCTTGGACATATAGATGACATAAACACATTTTGACTTTGGCATTGTTAAACGAATTGTTTAACATTGAATATTCCATGAAAAAGCTGTCTTTCTTCTAATGTAAGGTTTGTTTAAGTAATTAAGTGTAATACTTCTTGGAACAGGATATTATGTCTTCTCTCCCTAAGCATGAAATAATGAATTTTTAAAAGCCTTCTTTTATGTTTCTTTGCGACAAAATGTGTTGTCTGTACTAATACATTTTCTATGTTGAAAAGATCCCTATGTGAATTACGAATTTTACTGAAATACGTCTAGCAGTTTTCGGAATTCTAGTAGCATTAAATACTAGGATCGACGAACTAACAAACAAAAATTTAAAATATTTGTTTCTTGGTTCCGGGTAAGATGATACAAACTACAAAATATCAAGAGTTACTGCATGAATAAATAACACTGATCATTGAAATTCGATATTTCTTTTCTGGAATTGATATCTATTTTCAGCAAGTATTTAAATTTAATATTGGACGTCGCGTGCTTATTTTATTACGATTAATTAACTCCTTCTGTAGTTTAATGATTCACGTTAATCTATTAGGAAAACGGTATATCAAGTCGACAGATCTTATCATATATTCTACAGTTTTGGATATTTATACAATAAAAATTTGTTCAGACTAGCATAGTACTTGGAAACTTCTTGGGAAATTACCGATATCGTATCACGAAGACCAACGAGTACAGAATCGCTAATAAGACTCTTTTAACGGTGTATGTATATTAATCGTCTCCTTCGGATAAGCAGCTGCATTATACATTTTTTGTACTCCGCGTTGTTGTAATGCAGGGAATGCGGACGAGCAATTCGTTTATTTCGCATCTCTAGGACATCGCGAGAAATCTGACATTGAGGAACTGTTCACGTCACGTCTTGAAATTCAAAGCGATTCATCACGTACGTATGCTACACACGTTGCGCGAAAATACATACATCATCTTATAGAACGTTGCTTGGAATTGTATAACGTGGTCTTAATTGACCTCGCGATTCAATAAAATGCAAATCTTCAGGTATTCGAAAGCACTTATAAAACACATTCTACGATTACGAAAACAAATAATAGTCCCGAAGACGATATAACAGAAATACAATTTCGATCGTCCGACGTTTTAAAAACGGGAAGTTTTTTTTTTTTTTTTTTTTTTTTATAATATCAAATTTAATATCTCGCGTAAAGATATCATTTGTGTTGCAATTTGTAAACGTAAACAGCTGATTGTTATGTAAGAGACAATTCTTTCGTTTTCTGTAGTTTCGCCCGAGTAGCACCGGACCGCGAGACAGTTCTTTACTGAAAATCGCGTGAAAAATATTTTCCTTCTTGCGAAACTTTAACGATTTCCTTTAGAAACTTATATACGATACTGAGAAATCGATAGGCGCCCACGGAGTGTATCAACTTGGCGAATATAAAGTACTGTTTCAGTAATTTGTGTTTAACGAATCTAAAACTCGATGTAAATAATTAAGCGAATGTAGGATATATCTTAATAGGTGTAAAAAATGATTAGGCGAGTTGGAGTTCCCAAGCACGTGAGAAGCACGGTTTCAAATGAGGACAAGCGCGGCTAATCTTTGCAGAAGTCGTGACAAATAAAAACTTATCTACGATTATCGCCATTAAATCAGAATCAGATTGTCTTTCGTAGTTTATCTATTGGAAATATCGATCACATTCTTGTATATGCACATTTTTATCGCGATCTTCTCGGTGTTCGGCGAACTAACAAGGACGATTTAGGAATCGGACGCGAAACGTTTAAAACAATTTCGCGAGTCTTAGAAGCCGACGTTGAAACCGAGGCGAAATCATGAAACCGTCGTTGCTCTTTTTTCAAGAATAATTCATCTATTTACTAACCGATTTTCCGTGATACTTGGAACAGAAGCGGAAATTATTTTTGTGTCAACGAACCTTTTCGAATAAAAATGAATTTACTCGATGGAAACATCGATGAAAGGATTTTGAAAAGTGAACGTGGCGATATGTACCTTTCGGTTGAGTCGTTGGTATTTTCATTCGCTCCGAGATGGAAATGATCGAAACTCTCTTCATGGCGTGCGTCATGTTGATAACGAATTTCACTCGTGCACACGACTACTTTGATAGGGTCGAGTAAATCGCGAAAAAGACACTACAATCCATCAATCGGTTGATCGTGGTTTTATAGTCCATCGCCGAAAAGGGATTCTCCCACTCTTCCTTCTCAACTTGCACGCTCAGCGAGCGTATGCACAACATTCCGTTATCATTTTTCCCTCTTATCTGAATAAAAAACATAATAAATGTATATTATTATAGAGCGCGCCGAGGAAACGCGTGTATCTAACTACAATGTGTCCTTTATTGGATCGTTCGTCATTTAAACGGACTAAAAACAATTGGAATAGAATTACACAGGACATCGGTAACCGCGAGGACCCGACTGTGAAACGCTTATCTGTTACGCCCAAGTTCTAGTCCGACTTAGGAAGTGATTTGTAACTGCATTGGCCGGGTCTTCAGATTACATCGAAACGATTTTATGCTTACCGGTGATAAATTGCTACTGTTGAAGTTGAATCTCATGATACGATAACGGGTACTTGCACCGATAAGATTCAACATTCGAGCCACAATCAACAAGTAATACAAACTTGTTATTGAATCGCCTAGATCTATGGTCGCCCCTAATCTTGTTTGCAATATAGTCGCAGACCGTCTATTATTCCTAATAATTTTCCTAATACTTTGCCTTTGTCTTGACGAATTAATGTCTTAATAAAATTACGTGGCGTAACATAGATTGCAAAAATCGTTAAAATAAGGATCACCCTAATACACACGTACGTATTGACTTATATGTGTACATCGTACAATGCACGTACGGATTACTCTTAACGCGATTGTATCTAATCGACTGAGTGTATTTTAATCAATTTCATATTTCAGTTTTACATTCTCATCTCACTTAATCTGATTCGATTTTAAGCAAAGTGATTCATAAATAATGGTGCTCTCCTCTCGTAGTTCTTTTGTTGTATGTATCAGATATACGACTGTACAGGTTTAGGCAAGCAAAGTATTGCAAGCTATTTTTTCGGAAACTAAATTTTTTATTATTTTTTTTTTTTTATTAGCGATATCTGCAAGTCTTTTTCGTTAGTATTATAGGGTACGATAGGTCCTTTCTTGTACTTTATGGGTTATTGCCGCTTCAGGACGCAGGCAAGAGAAAAAAAGTAGCTTGATGGAGCTCAATGAGTTTCGTAGACTATATAATAAACTTAAGTAACATCGAATCAATCATATTTATTTTCGTAGGTTGTATACATGTACGCGTTTAAAAAAGATTAATATAAAAAAGATGAAGTTTCCTTATTGTATAATTATATGATAGCCTTGAAAAGAGTCATGGCGATGTCTGTTGTTGTCGTTTTCACAATTGCTCTTTTTACATGGGTTTCTCCAATAATAAAATGGAGTCTCTGTGATTACAATCTTATGGTAGATAACAGTAAAAGTAGAGTAACAACAAAGTAGTAACGTTGTCATTACGAGGAACGTTGCACATATTATAAACGTCATTCCAAATTTAACATTTTCTTCTTTTAAATGTTAGAGTTAATATTCGGAAACGTATCCGGTTATCCCGCGTTGTAGATTTACTAAGGATTAGTAAATAATTAATTGGAATTGACGAGCACATACGTATCTACTTTCTATTTAGCTTATAATTAACAAACCATTCTCTTTGTACGCTCTACTTACTCGAATACTTAACATTCGAATATTTTTTAGCTACGTCTGTAAAAACTGAAAAAATTCTTATAGCGAGTGTCGTTGTCACTGTAAATTAGTTGCTACATTGTTTTGTCACTTTACTCAACTTTAGAATTATTCCATGGTTGAACTTCAGCTTGACCGAAGATGATAAAAATCAAATTTCCTAATATATAGATCGCGGCAGATAGATAAAACACCGTGTTCCATTGCGTCACGTTTTTCTGAAAGAAGAAAATTGATGTATCGTCGACTAAATTATTGTTAATAAGTTACACCGAACGTAAATACCTCGTCGGTTACGATTTCGCCGCACACTAGCGGAGCAATTATTGCAATTACAGACGCGATGCAATTCGTGATGGACATCATCGTACCAGCAAAATTGGGACTCAGGTCGATGTGATTTATTTGAAAACCGCAGAGCGATCCGGCATTTAACCCTACAGCTATTACGAGAATCGCTACAGCCACGTTGGTGTTATGCTCTGGCATAGCTGCAAGACCGATCAAAGCTACAGCTGGGCCCCAGTGAGCGATAGTATTACAAACCTTCCTGGCTACTCCTCTCGAGACGCCTTTTTTCAAAGCAAAGTCGGATAACCAACTCACTGGAAAACTTAAAATCCACATTGCCAAGTAGGGAAGAGCTGCCATTAAGCCATTCTGTAAAATAAAATTAAGAGTCCCAACAATTTTTCAGTTAACATTCATTCAAACATTATTAATTCGTACAGTTAAAATAATCAAAAATAACAAAAATACAACTACTAATAAAACTGACACTAATTATTATAATATTGTCACTATTACTACCACTACTACGAAAATAATAACGAGTACTTGGTTTAAATTACCTTTTCGAGGTCGAATTTCAAAACGGCGTTCATGTAACTCGGCATTTCGGTGATAAGAGTCCAGTATCCCCAATTTTGGCCGCAATGAACGACTATAAGAGCCCACATCGGTATCGAAGTGAAAATCGATTTCCACGGTGTGATTTGCTAGTAGACATAAAATAGTACCTAGGATAACTATAAACTTGTAACATTCACAGATATTAACAAACACATTAGACTCGTTAATAAATAATTATAATTTCAGTGTGCGAGTCTAATTTGATGTGCTTATAATAATGAACAGAATTATGAATCTGTTGAAGAATAAATTTTAAACTTTCTTTTCTTTTTTTTTTTTCTTTTTTTTTTTAAACAAAAATTTCTTACACTTCATTTGATGTAAAGTGTACCAAGAATATAACTGAAAAGTTATATTAATATTTCAGACAAGAATTCTTACCTTATCGTTGTTTTGCTCGTTTTTCTCGTTGGTATTCGTTAAACCACTCTCTATGAATACTTTTTCCTTCTCCGATATTCGAGAGTGGTGAGACGGTGAATCGTATGCAAATATAAAAAACATGACGCTCCAAAATACCGCTAGAGCACCGAAAACGTAAAATACGGATGGCCAGCCGACTTTAGACGCTGCTAATACTCCAGAAATCGGGAAACAAATCACAGTACCAAATTGTGCCCCGGCATAGGCAAACGCTCCTAAAACAAAGGAAACACTTATAGATAATAAAATGGTTTGCCGGAGTGGATTACAAGATTTGTGTTATTTTATACAGTGTCTTAAAATCTTGTCGTGTTACGTACATACGAATTTAGATTGGTGCAACATGCGATGCAACGTTCGCATTAAAGTGGGTACATGCTTTTGATGTGAATCGAGTAGTACACCGAATTCCAGTATTATACAGGGTGTTAATTAATACGTGGGCAATTTTTGAGGATCAAGTCTTCGCGCGATTACGAATCGAAAAGTCCTGTATTATTTTGCGATCCGAGTCTTCGTTATCGAGATATAAGCAGGTTTTACAGGTGTGATTGGTCTCACCTCTAAATTTCAATTATTATATCTCGATGACGGGGGTCCGATGCGGCTGGGAAAACATTTGAGCTCCGTGCTCTATAATTTGAAAACATTTACTTCTTATTTCGATAACGAAGGCTCAGATCTTAAAATAGTAAAGGTTCGATTGCAATGATTTTTAATGACATCAGGACCTTGGAAAAGTGCCCACATATCAATCGACACCCTGTACACGGAACTCTGTAACCTGTAAGAAAATAAATGTTGCATCTGTTGCATCATTCTGAGTGTAGGTATGCAATCGATACGATTTTACGACGACAGAATTTGAGATTATGAATATTTTAAGCGATTCTCACCAAGTCGTGCTCTCTCGGAAACAGCTGCCCACTTTGAAAGAAAAGTATGGATGCATGGCAAAAGGCAACTCTGGCAGGCCCCCATGGCCACTCTACAAATGCAGACTGCGGTCACATTTCCGTAGTGCGCGGTGGTGGGTATTAAAATGTTCAAGATACCACAAAATAGCATCCCGTAACTGAGTAGCTTTTTAGCGCTCCACGTTTTAGCTAAATAACCGCTTGGAATTTGCATTACCGTGTAACCCCAGAAGAAGGCGCTCAGGATCCGCGTCTTTTCTCTCGGATCCCAATCGTACACCTAAACACAACAATAATAATTATTATAAACACTGTAGTATTTGCGCATGTTTATGCGCAAATGTTACACAAGATATATATACACAACGTATGAAGAATACATGCAAAATTAAAATGTTTACAGCTAACCATTTACTTCGGAAGCTTCTTTGGCTGAAGCCTATTAGCAACTCGAAAAAAGGCACTACAATTGTAAAAGGAAACGCATGACTGAAAACAACAATTTCGCTAAGAATTGATGTTGTAACTCTTGGTTAGATCAGTTACAATTGTGATCATAGTGACTTAGTACTTTAGGCATAATTGTCACTTATTGTACATAAATAATCGTGCTTGATATTATTTGAAAAATGTTGAAGATGATCCCAGATTTCTTCTCGTGAGCCATAAAACAAAATTGTCTTAGGTGATATTTTGCAGTAATAGGACTTGTCCGTCATTTTTAATGCCGTGGGTGGACCGAGCTGGGACTCGATGTACTTACGTATAGCATGTATAGCTGGGAGGTGTCCTATCGAGTTCTCGCGAGATCCAGGCACCTCCCTTGTAGTTTAGGTGAAAATTTATGTCGATAAGTAATAGTAGAAAATAAGCTTTGTATAATCATTCTTAGGTGATAAATCCAAATACTTTTTCAGTAAAAATTAGATTCTTTATCGATCCGTGTAATAAAATGTTTGGTATTCTATTTAAAAAATCGAAGGTAACATTTATGCATCCGTTAAAAACGATGTCGGTGATAAAATAGTTCATACATGTTGTGTCGCCCTCGAAACGATGCAATTTCGGTATGAATATATTTTGTGTGGTAATTTTAATCGGAGATTCCGTATAATGGCTGGTAAAGGTAAATAAGTCTTCAACAACAATGAATATTTCATATATATATGTCAAATGATCGATGATTGTATACATTTATAAGTGATTCTATACTTCACGTCTATAATCATTTCAAGAGTTTTTAACAAAAATTTGAATACATATTTTTATTTAAAATAAAACTTAATTTTACACTACATGTATCGCGCTTAATATACAAGTTTTGTCGTTAAGATATATTTAAAAGTGGTTAAAATACAGCAAATCTCTAAAAACGTCTTTTCTCGGTGTACACGATAATTTAAGAACATCTCGCCTAAAACGTACTAAACAATTATTCTGTTAAACGTCAATGTCTACCGAATGAACGATGGATTCTTCGAAATTATGATTTTTACTAAAATACCAGTGATTTTCTTGAAAAATCCCATTTTTCAACTTTTATGATTCTTTCGTGACGAAAGAGCAAGTTTTCAGCGAAAAACAAATTCCTCTCTTCGTTCAGCAATCTATGTGTCGAATAAGCCTTCAAAATTTTAAATCGATCGATGAAACATTTATTGAGATATCGTGTACACAGTATCGATCTTGTTTTGATATACCGAGAAAAACGCGTTTAAAGTTTCAAGTTCGAATCCGCGTGTATAAAAAATGTTGTTTATAACTCACATGGAATCGTGGACTCCAAGGCGATATAGGAGACCTGCTACAGAAACTGCTTGTTAAAAGTCCATCTGACCTTGCCCGCGACACACTCTATCCTCCTGTGTGCTCGGCCCTCAAACCAGGTGATCCTCATTTTTCCACGTTCCGTTTCCAGGTACGGGTAAATGTTGTTACATCGGGAAGTCTTTCTTTTTTTTTTCTTGCCGTCACAGCTAATTTGAAAAACAAATCACAAACATCCTTCACAGCTGTACGAATTGGTCGTATAATTACATCGCAAGTACGCAGTTGAAGAAACGACGGCGATTTCACGAGTCCACAAAATTTAACACAGCCTGCTAAACCAATCCCGACGGTTCTTACAGCGAATATAAAAATCGTTCGTTTATTTCGTAAAAATAACCAATGTACGAGCATTACTGCATATTTAGCTGCTCCCAATTTTCGCACAGCACTGCAATTTCAAATCTTAATCCTCGATTGTCCGTCGACTTGGAACTTGAATTCACCATCGCATTCTTTGCACTTCACAAGTACCGCGAGGAACGAACGAAATCAAAATTTTGAACTCTATCGAGTTGTTTCGCGTCGCTGCGATTTCGTTATTGTGAAATTTGATTTTTTTTTTTTTTCTTATTTCTTGATGGACGTTGAGGTTTACAGTTAAAAGACCGCTTCCGTGTTTTTTTTTTTGTTTTTTGCCATAGATTTATATACGTTCTCGGATAACCTTTTACTCCTCGATAACTTGTGCATGATGCAAAATAGTTACGGAAATGAAAACGATCTCCGTAGAAATAAACGACTGTGTACTATTGTTGTATCGTGGAAAGTTCGAGAAATTATTTATATCGAAATTTCAGGATGAAATGGGATCTCTATTGTGACGTAAACGAAAATTTTATGATGTTCTTAATTTAAAAAATATGATGGTGCAGTTTCGTTTCTTTCAAATGAAACTATACACAGTCGGTGTAAGATGTATTTCGTATAGCAACCAATTTAAAATAAATGGTTCCTGTACGAATACTTATTATACTGACCATATATTTTTTTTTTTTTTTCGATTTTACTACAATATAGACGATTTTATTTTACTATTTAGACGATTTTATTAAGCTATAACGTATATGTTAGTAATTTTGATGGTTGGGATATTTATTTAAATGTTTTAGCTGAAGTTAGGTATAAAGACGTAACTTAATTACAATTTAATTGTCACTTAATTACAATATCATTTCGTGGAATACGTTTCGAGTCCATTGAAGTCGTAAAACATAATTTATTGAGAGAGATGAAGGGTATATAGAAAAAGGCCCATATAAAGTGTTTCTAAGACTGGATTGTTCGTTAGTGTAATTGTATCGCATTAAATGGAACCTATTTTGAAGGTGACAAAATAAATTTAAATGATCGATATTTACTTGACAGAATGTAATGGTAAATATTCCTAGCGAGGTGCAACAACAACCACGTCAAGAGGAAGGACACTTGAAGCTCATATCAGAAGAGCTAATCTTAACAATGAAAAATAATCTTATCAACAACTAAAGTAACTCATCGGCCAGTAGATCTTAATGATCTACTATTAATCGCCAGATGTGTTAGACTTTGCAATCAATAAAGACATCAATGCAAACAAACATAAGTGGGAATCGCGAACTTAGGTCCGACTATATCCTTTTAATGATACAATTAATTAATATCGATCGATGTAGCTTTACTGTTAAATTCAATTCAAGTTAGCTATTCGATTAACAAAAATTTACCTCAAAATTATTGTGACTTCCTTCCGGTTCCGCATCTTGCGTCATTGCGACGATAGCTTCCGACATGCTAACTCGAAGACAGTATCCGATGACCATCCCCCAGAAGCATAAGAAAATCTGTAGATGCCTGATTCCAAGTATACCTATAATACAATAATATTTTTACTAAACAAAATTTATTTAGCTTCGTCTAAATAAAATTAAGACTGCGGACCGGCGCAAGGCAGGTTGCAATTAATATCTATAATTTAATACTACTACAATCTAATATGCAATATTTTCAACTCTTTTCAATCTGTATAATAAAATCTACAATTAGTCTCGCTATTTCTCTCGTGAATCACCGTGTGATTCTCCGCTATTTTCATTTAGATTTTCGTAACGTCAGAATTTGATACGCATGTAAATCGTGTCATCTTCGTGGTATCGCTCCCTACTTGTTTCGCGCGAGTAAAAGCAAAACATTTCGGTCGATGCATAGCATTAGTGTTAATATTATCGGCTAAAAAAACTATATTAATCGATATACCGATATCGCCTGTTATGTGTGCGTAGGAAAATATGAGGCTTTCGCGTCTGAAACGTATAGGTGTGTATTGCGTTTCAACTCATATATCATTGAATTATCAGGAGTTCGGTAGATTCAGATACGCTGTATTACCCTGAACTCTTAGATATTGTGTTGGAAAGTGACGCAAGCTGAAAATAATCTATCGCATTTTGTACGGATTTTATGTATCCGTTCATGTCTTGTTTCGCGATATCATGGAACTGAAATTTTCCGTTTAATTTTAAGGAAATAAACGGATGAATAACGAAAAGCTTTTATATTTTCTTAATTGTCTATGAGAATGTTTCCATTGAATTGCAAAGTATTGTGGTATAAATAAATTTAGAGGAAAAAATCAGCAAGCCCTTATTAAAACTAGCGCAACTTACAGTTTTAATCCTTTGCGCTCGAGTGGCGCCTCCACGGCGACGTATGTAATTTAAAAGTGATTTTTTGAACGTACAATTTTAATTTTACTTGTATCAGAATACGGTTAATTATTAATTGAAGTAATACATTGAGTCATGGATGTTTGTAGATGTTTTTGGTTTTACAGAAATTTATTATACATAAAAACGGACTGGATTTGATTCTGTAGAAAAATGCCTCGAGCGCAAAGGGTTAATAAAATATTTCCTACTAGACATATACAGAAGCCTGATAAATACAAAGTCCGAAACAGACTTTCGATGATATACAGGGTGTCCCAAAAATGTTGTAACACCTTGAAAGGGATGGTTCGGGAGGTGATTTGAAACAACTTTTTCCTTAGCGAAAATGTTGTCCGAGGCTTCGTTGAGGAGATATTAACGGAAAACATTGACCAATCAGAGCGCGAGTATGCCGGTGGAGCGTAGGCTACGCGCTAGGCGGCTGCGCTCATACGCTACTGCGGCCGCTCCACCGGCATACTCGCGCTCTGATTGGTCGGGGTTTTCGCTTAATATCTCCTTAACGAAACCTCTGACAACATTTTCGCTAAGGAAAAAGTTGTTTCGAATCACCTCCCGAACCAACCCTTTCAAGGTGTTAAAACATTTTTGGGACACCTTGTATTTAATTAATAGGATATAAAGATATGTATAGTGTAAATGAAGAAGCTTGAAGACTAATTACAACGGTGTAACATGACCAGAAATTTAAAGTATGTGTCGCACTTACGATTAGCTGATATCTAAATGCGTAGGTGTTTAAAAGACAAATCTAGTAGGACATTGTAAACGGGGTGATACAATTTGCGTTATACGAGACTCGGGATTTAACAAGGAGGATACAGTTTAAAGAGAGAGAGGAAGAAAAGAGGGGGTGTCTGTGCGGTGTTGCATAAATACGTATTTATATACAGAATTGTATCAGATCACTCTACATGAGAAACTTCTTTCTCATACAAATAAGAACGATATGAGTTAGAGAGAGAGAGAGAGTGTTCGAAGACTGTGTAGTACGCTTACTGAGGAAATACGCGCTTATCTATCGCGTTGTAGGTATTACATATAAAACACGTTATACGAGGTCTGTCGCAACTTTTTTACTGCAGCACTAGAAATCATACACGAATACCGCATTATGTGCTGATTATACTGTATGTAGCCATAAACATTAATAAAAATTCTTCATAGCCTGACAATAATTTTATTTTACTCACTGAAGTTAAAAAAAAAATACAGCTATATTTAGTTAAGAGTAATCGATAACAAGCAAAAAAAATGCGCTTTATCTTGTTACTGACAAGTAATGCTATTATCAACACAACACTATTTAATCGCTATTTTATCATTATTGTCAGACTTACTAACTATGCCCAAGTACAGCGATCAAAATCAAATTATATTGAATTAATTATGATTGTTACCAGTAAATTATTACCGGTAAAAAAATTTTTTTTTTTAAATTACGTTATAACTACCGATAAGTAAGGTTTTACATTTGCATCGTCAGATAAATGTTGGAATGTTTACTCGTAATAATATTAGTACATGAAACAATTGTAGTAATCATTTAGCACATGTGTAATAATGATCTTTAAGTTTTAACGTAACGGTCTTAAACGTCCCTTAAAATTCTCCCATTAATTAATATATTTCTTTCTGCTTCTTTTATGATACAAAATTAAAATAAATAATTTATAGTAAGTTTTGTTTGTTTCGGAAGCAATTATCAAACACCGTAGAAAATTTAGTTACGGGTGTACGTATTATGAGTAAATTCAGGGCACCAATACGTATTATATCGTATAACGTAACCCTGATAAATTTTAAGACATTAGAAAATAATTCTGCCCTTGTTCTTAATCATTTCCTCGAAAAATACAATTTTTTTTAAATCTGCACGAGATCATCTACAAGTGCACGAGCGAAAATTGAAGTAATAACACACCATGTAAATATTACTTCTTCGATGCTGAATATATACATACATATCTAAATCGCATAATTAAAATTAAATACTGGCCTTCAAACGTCATGCCTTATGGTATCACAGAGCGAGTACAAAAGACGTACGATTTAATCGTTTAAATTTACCTTAGCTTCGCAACAATTAATGTTACGAATCTTTTGAAAGACAATTCACCGCGGAAGAATCGTAGATATACCTGACAGTTTTGTTGATTCCATTTCGAAGACATTTTTTGCAGCCTCATTATTCATGGTTGTCATTTCTAACACTGTCATACACAGACTGTTCAAATTCTAATCTGTTACTCGATGTTACCTATATCACGCGCCCCACCGACTCCCACATACGTCCTTCTCTCCTTTTCTTGTAAATGTATCTCACTCCTTCGTAATTAGCTTCCTACTGTTTAACAACGTATTTATATTGTGATGGAAGGAGAAGTAAAATAATATGTTCATGTATGAATGAAGTATCGGGTTTTTCCGAAATTCTGTCGCCTTTTCTGAACCCCATCAATACTCGTTTATCATTACTCAAGGTTACGAAGATTCACGCACTAATATTTTATGCATTTAATATCTTTCATTTTGCAGAAACGAATTCAAAGAACGTAACAATATGATAATGATAGAAAAACTTGCGGTAATTTTAAAAGTAGCCTTAGACTTTTGCACAATACATACAGAGATCGCCGGGCTCATTTTTATTATTGTTATATAATCTAATTTAAACAGTGTTTCCCTCTTGATGAATTAAGTTATTGAACAGATAGAAATGTATATTAATTTATTACATCATCTTTAAAAATGTAAAAACTATTCTCTGAATTTGATACAAGAAAAATTTACCAGCTGGACTCCACTTGATAGTTGACAACGATTACACGATATAATATTTCGATAGGGATATATCATCGGTTGATAATTCCCAAAAATTGAAGATATCGGTTGTCTTTCAGAACTATTAAATCTTATACAAATAGAGATTACATAGTGTTTTATATACGAAAATAAGAACAGATTTAAGATCTGTATTACTCTCCTTAACATATACATGTATAATTTGTACAAAAATAGTTTTATTTACAGCGTTTTCAAAGGATCTCTAAATTACTTGTACTTACTTCATATAAGGTGATTTTATGTTTTTTAATACAAAATTACAAATGATTGTTTCATTTATTTTACATGTTATGAATTTAGTCCTTCTCGATTTATTAATACAATTAATGTCAGTGAAAAAAACATTTCAACATTTTACCAGTAAGTATAAAATAAATTCATATCTCTGACATTTAATTATATCATAATCTATCATTTTTCAATAATCTCTATAACTTATATATTAAATTTAAATTATACGCTCTTACAAGTATCTATCTTGTGAACGTAAATGCAGTTTTAAGATAAATTGCATATAACAAACATTGAACCAAACTTTCACTCCATTTATGCTCTATATTTTACGTTTCTTTTTCAAAGGTTTTCTGCAGTTATTTTGTTCATATGAGTCTATTACACTAGTCGTATCAGAACAATTACTTCATAAAGGTGTCTTTTTTGGTGTTGTACATAGTCCTAGATCAGGTAAGCTGAAAAAAAATAAAACCTGTGTCAGACTATGATTGAATTACTATAATTATGCAAATTCATAAATTATTAATAAATTTAATAGATTTATTTGAACTCACGTTACTGAAGTATTTTCATTTTCTACGTTCTCGTCTGCAATTTGAACATTATTTTTATTCTGTGTTACACATGTGTCCTTTTGCTGATTTTGGGTAGAGGATTTTTGTATCTGAGATAAACAACTATTTTTAGAAGTAATTTGTGTTGGTAAAGGAATACCATTCTTTTCACAATATTTCCTTACGTCAACAGTAATACTCTTTGTACAATTATAAGTTTTATATATTCCAATAAGGTGATCCGCGAGTTCAAACATATTCGATCTTAAGGATATAATTATAAATTGTGCATTTTTTGTCCTTTCCTTTATATAATTTCCTATAATTGAAACGTTTTTAAAGTCCAAAGCAGCATCAATTTCGTCCATAAAATACAAAGGAGTTGGTTTATAATGATGTAACGCAAATATGAGAGCTAAAGAGCTCAAGGTCTTTTCACCACCACTAAGATTACAAATATTTTTCCAAGATTTCTTGGGTGGTCTTACGCTAAATGTAATTCCTTCACTGAAAGGATCCAAAGAATCCACCAACTCCAACTCAGCATCACCTCCTAATGTAATCATTTGATACAGTTCCCTTAACTTGTCCGTAATTACGGTAAAACCTTCAAGAAACTCCTGTATTCTACGACGTCTTACTTTGTCGTAAATATCCCGTATTCGGTTACGCTCTGCTGTTAATTTTTCTAAATCCGCGGCACGTTGTAACCATAATGCATTTTTCTGCTTATACTCTTCGATAAGTTGCATATTCGGAATTTCTGTGGGTAATCTTTTCTTTGTTTTTTGTAAATTTGTTAAAAGAGTATTCTTATCTAATTTATTAAGTTCTTCTTCCATTAATTCTTTTAATTCTTCAGTATTTTTACCAGGTATTGCTTGAAGTTTTAAATGAGCTATTCTTGTGGTATAATCTGAAAATTGTTGCTTTAATTCTTTTATTGCGTTAGTAGACTCCTTTAGTTTCTGATCAAGATCAATTTTAACTGCTTTTATTTTGTTCTCTCGGGTTTGAAGAGCGTCTAATTCTTCTTTAAGAGAAGGCATAATTTCATCCTTTTCCAAAAGATCTTCTGAAAGTTTTCTAAGTTTTTCCAATATTTCTTTTCCTTTTACTTCTAACTCCTGCTTTTCCACCTGAATATCTCGAAGTCTTTGCTCACAAGTATGCACATCATTTTCGAGGCTATCTATGTGTTGCTCGACCTTTTTCACGTTCCTTTCAGCAGTTTTCATTGCAACTTGCAATCTGCAAATTTCAGCTTTAGCTTTATCAATTGATTTGCATAAATTGGATATCTTCTTCTGTTGATCTTTTACACGAGATCCTGACAATGCTTCTATTTCTTTATTAAGGCACACAACTTTATTTTCAATAAGCTTTGACTTTTCGTTTACTGTCTCTAGAGATTTTTCTGCAACGTTCAATTGTTTCTTTAATTGCTCAATCTTTTTCGGATCTGATATTGAATCTTTGACTTTTTGTTCTTGGACTTTCAACTGTTTTCGTAATGACGGTTCTTGTTCTTGCAATGTCTTAACTTGGATATATAACTTTTCTTTATTAACTTTTATATCTTTTAAAGTTATGCTTAGTGTATGAACCTGATTTTCTAAAGATTGATGTTTAACTCTAAGTTGATTGCACTCTTCGTATGTTTTATCTAACTCTGACTGCAAACTTTCAATGTCTACCAGAGACAGTTCGTTCCTCAACACCTTTTGCCCCATTCTACCCCTTAGTACTGTGGTACCACCACCACTCATCGTACCTGATAATTCGATTAATTCACCTTTCAATGTAACTACTCTAAAACGTTTATTACCATATGCAATACGCGTTGCTTGATCTAAATCATTTGCTACCAATGTATCATGCAATCCATAATAAAATGCAGGTAATACCCGCTCATCTTCAACACGTATAAGATCAAAAAGTCTTGGAACATTCTCCGGCGTTTGTATTTTTTGTTTACATCGCGATAATAAATGTTGCTGTTTTTCTAGTGCTATAAATGTTGCACGCCCTATATCATTCTGTCGAAGAAATTTTATGCATGCTTCCGCAGTCGCTACAGTATCAACAACGATGTTATCCAAAGGCCCACAAGCTGTTGAAACTGCAATGTCATATTTTTCATCTATTGCACCAATATCACCCAACCTGCCAAATATACCAGTAAGTCTTCCTTCCATTTTCTCTTGCATCAATCTATCTATAATCTTATTTGTTGATTTATTTGCTCGCATAGCAGACTTTTGTTCTTCAAATGAAATTCTCATACTTCTTAATTTTGAAGTCATTTCAATTTCTCTGCTTTTGACTTTTTCCAATTCCTGTTGAGCTTGTACTAAGTTATGTTCAATATCTGGAATTTGAATTTCTACGCTCTGCAGCTGCTGTTTCTTCTCTATTAAATTATCTGCTGTTAATTTTAAGGAATTTTTTAGTTCTTCTAATTTTTCTTTCTCCGTAAACTCTATAGAAGTGTACAATTCTAATTCAGACTGAGCAATATTGAAAGTTGCTTGTGCTTGATCAACGTTTTTCCTTAGAGATATTAATTCCTTTTCAAGTTTAGAACGTTCATTCAGCAGTGGCTCAGTTTTTTCACGTAAACCAACCATCAGAGTTTCTAATATTTCTTCTTCTTTTACTCTATGTTGTGTATGAGTTTCGATTAGTTGTTCACACTCATTAATATTAAGTATGTTTTTTCCAGGTACTTTACTCAGTTCTTCTAACTTAGATTTTTCTGATTTTAATGTTGCAATATTAGCTTTTCGACGTTTATTTGTTTCCACTAATTCTGCATGGAGAGACTCATCCTGTTTTCGAATATTGTCAAATTTTATAGTAATTTCATCTTTTTGTTGTTGTAATTTATCCCACTTTTTACTTTTTTCCAGAATTACTTCATTTTTCTCTTTTCTCTCATTATGAATTTCCTTCAATTTGTTTGTAAGATCCAATAAATCTTTATCCAATTCATTGATTCTACTTTCTTGCTCTGACATTTTTGTTTTAGTTTCTAATCTATTATAGTAATAAAGCTGATGTTGTATCTTTGTTATTGCATTTTCTAGTTGTAAATATTGAACTGCTTCTTGCATAGGTTCCTCTAAAGCTGCTTTTTCTTTCTCAATCATTCTAAAACGATTTAATTTCTCAAGTCTACAGTTAGATAGATCTTCTACTTTGTCATATAATTTTTCTAATGGTTCTTTATAACGAACTGTTCCAATTATATCTTCTAAAAATTCCAGCATACCAACATCATTTTCGTTTTGTGCTTTAGGTTTCATCATCGCTATTTGTTCAACTTCTCCTTGTAAAATTAAAAAACGATTATGAGTTAAATCCACTCCATATGATTTCAAAACTTTTACAATCTCTTTAATTGGTACTTTCTTTTCATTAAGTTCATAATATGAGGAATTATCTTTAAATGCTGTTCGAGATATTACAAAGTCACTATTTGGGACAATATCATAATCTACGTCGGATTTATCAATTATTTGTTGAAAGTGTACAGATACTGTACAGCTATCGATATTCTGATGTTGACTGGAATTGTGTATTAACGCTGATAATTTTTTTGATCGAATCTTACTAGCCCTGTATCCAAATACAAATAACATGGAATCTATAACATTACTTTTACCGCTGCCATTTGGACCAACAACAGCAGAAAAGCACCTATGAAATGGGCCAATAACTTGGGTACCACGGTAACTTTTAAAATTCTTATTAATTATCTTAGTAATCATAAGCCTAGGGCCATTGATATCAATTTCACTTGTGATTTTAAGAGGTGGTGGTATATATATATCATCATCAACTTTTAATCCACCTTCTTCATCAGTATCCATTCCATCACTTTCTTCGTCAATGTCCATGTTTTCGGTGGAAATATTGCAATCAGTTTCACTCTCCGCAGTCATTCTCATAATCAATACATTGATGGTTCTTCATTTACATTAAGAAACCTACATTAAGACAGAAAAATTAAAATAAATAATATTAGGTTACAAATACACTTTGAAAGATAAAAAAATAAAAAAAAAACACGTCGAATTGAGTAACCTCCTTCTTTTCGAAGTCGGTTAATAAAAAACCTAAAAAAATATTTATTAATAATAAACATTTATTAATATTATACTTACAACTTTTGAATACATAAACTGCCAGTTGCTAACTCCAAGCAAGGCTGACGCCAACATTCAATTACAGTGGTGCCACCTTTACAGATTTTTATGGGGTTTTCTAGATTCTTTTCCTCGCCAGTGATAGACAAAACCCTAGACTTCGAATAAATCTGAAGTTTGCCGATTATTTTTGCAATAAATACGTTTATATTTCTTCGCTTTCTTCTAGTCTTTCGCAAAGGTTTTTCGGCTGAAATCATATGTATATTGGACAGACCCGTTATCGTTCGAATATTTGTTTTCAAGCAAAGAAACAGAGAGGTAAGAGACGAGTATTGACGTATAATCGGTCGAAGCATACAGTAATTTAACCCTTGGAAGCCTGATTTTGCAAATTAAATTTAAACAAATGTCAATGTATTTATTATTTGAACGATTTTGACGGTTGACGTTTATTTTTTTAACTTTTGTACAAGAAAACATTATGCAATGGTAACATACATACAACCAAATATTAAAAACAATTACAGTTTGAATGAAAACTATTCTGATACACGTTCTGTCAATTATAGCAACTCTAAAAATAGTAATATACATCCTAAGAATACCAATGTTCAAATAACTTTTTGTTGTCAATATCATTATTTAAAATACTTTTATTTCTGGTCGAATATATTTAACAAAAAATAACATCTTTGTATATGTCATTTTTTTAATACAATATTTCTAAGCGTCTTATCGTGTCGATTGTGTGATCAGTTTAGTTAGATCTTATTTTTTCTTTGAAAAGATTATAAAGATCTTTCTTAGATAAATACACCCACATATTGTTCCATTCTTCTTCCAATGGAATGGCATCCTTGACTAGTTCCAAATACTTTTCGATCGGACAGACTTCGTCGCAACCCGCAAATTTATAAGGTATCAATTCTTCCGTAACTCCAGTCCATAGCAACATCTAGAAATGTTCATAAGTTGTTTATAAAGCAATATTGTAGTATCGCGCCCCCCGTACCCAAGAATAAAGAGTGAAACATGAACATGAATCGTAGGGTGTGGGATTCGTCGCGTAGGAAAAGCGGTCGACTGTTGATCCGAGGATCGTGCCTTTGAATCTCCGTGCTTTATTTTTCGTAGAGTCGAAGATGTTGACGATATCATTGAAATTAATTATCTGCGTTAATATGCAATTCCGATATTACCCTAATAAACTCCTTTCCAGCGTGATCCCGTAATTTCTCAACTATAATCGCACATCCGTAATTTGGTAGTTCCGGCTCCGTGACATTGTGCGCTCTAGCGAATCCTGCAATATTTGTTTCATGCCCGCTATACAAATAAATCTTACGCGGTCTATCACGTTTTTTGTTATTTTCCATGTTGTCAAGAAACCTTTTGACGAGTGTACCACCGTTCAGTCGTCTCAGTTGCGGCGTGTAAGAACGAATCGTGTACTCGCATTTTACAATGATCTGCAGGTTTTTGTACATTTCGTCGGTACACCATTCTGGTAATACAAGATTCATGCTTTTCTGTGAAATTATTTCAATAAATGTTCGAATTACAGTTCTACTATATACTGATATTTTTAATGTAATATTTAATAAGTATAGACTATACCTGTGCCGTCAGCATATTATACATTTCAAGCACATGATTCGTTTGAGTTATATTTGCACCAGTTTTTTCAGACAAAAACTTGAACAGATCTTTGTACACGGAGATTTTATTTTGAACTTCTTCCGATTCTCTAATTTCCTTCAATGCGCGCAAGTACCTGTAAAAAACATACCTGTTACGATTTTGATTTGTCGTGAACACATCTCGCCTATCCAACTTTTCCTTCCTATTTACCCACCCTGTATATCTGTTAATATCGATAACAAAATGGCATTATCTACTGCGACACTTACACACGAGAGAAATCGGGTTTCATCAGATTGTCCACTTTCTCTGGCATGAAGTGCGTTGGTATAGGCATCCATGGCAAACTTTTATTCCATTTTTGTATCGAAGCTGGCTGATAAAGCGCTGCCAAGACCAATTGAAGGGACATTTTTGTTCGATCGAGATCCGAGCTGTAAGCGTATACGTCGCTAGGGTAATAAATATCTCCTAAGAATTTGTCATACCGTGCTCGCAACATTTCTCCGATACGATATTCTCTCATTTTCCCTTGCTGAAAACAAACGCAATTGATTAACCATTTTCGTACTTGCGCGGTGCTGTTATTTTTATTACGCAATATTTTCTTACGTTTGTCAACTGTCCGAGGCCCCATGGTTCGTACGTTGACGCGTTGTGAGGATCATTCGGCCACAATTCCGCCTCGCGTGGCGTTCGTTCTCCATGTCTGAACAGCTAGTTAAAGTTTCAACAATTTCGTAGAAATAATTATATTAAATATAAACGTTTTTTATATATATATATATATATATATATATATATATATATACTTTAATACTTATTACACTGACTGTACCTGTTACCTTTAATTTATCTGTTTATCGCGATAATATTACAATCAATGTTCGCAAAGTATTTCGTAACTCTGAGACACTTAAGAAAATGTAAGTATGATACGAGGAGAACAAATAAGAATAACTATAACGATTTGCTTATAGTTCGTTAATGAAGTTATCCGAATCTTGTTTACATACTTTTTTTATCAATATTGAACAAATAAGCTAATGGACTTTGTGATCCGATTATTTTGCTTTAAAATGATCTAAAAAAGTTCTTCGTTTCTTTTGCAATTTTTTTTTTTAATTTTACGCCATTCTATTCATCACCGAAAACCACGGAAGAATACGTATTTTCCAAATTTTTTCTAGAAAATTACTGATTATAAAATTAATGGGATTCGTACCTAAAATATCTCCGCTGCTTTAAACGATACGAAAAAATTATTCGAATAGAAATTCTTCAGATTCAAAAGGAAAATATTATCTGCGCGAAAGGTGTTTCAAGGTCGTATCTTCTGAAATATCAAGCATATCAATGTTGTTCTAAATGGGATGGGGTATTTTCATTATTGTAATATTGCAGCTGATGAAAAACAAATTTGAACATGTATAATACGTTGACCTTCAAATGACTGTGAGGAGTTATTATTCTTGTATGTATTTATTTATTTTAATGCTCCCCCAAGGGGTTCCTTGAAGTTTTAGGAACGTGACCTTGAAAGAATTTTTTGTATCATATTACGTCCCTCTTCAAACTAAACAATGCGTTGAGATATAATTATTTCATTTTTATTTCTTTTAATGCGTGAACGAATCGCGCTTCTGCATGTGATTAGCGCGTGTCATACATTTTCTTTTGTTCTTTGTAAGAGAGGACATGAAGAATGAAAGAAACTATTGTTAATTCAATGTTATAATTTTTGTTTTGGTTCATTTGCAAAGTATTATGTAGTAGAACATTGTCTTCATTTGAAAACGTAAGCGTTTGACAATTAAATAGAATGAATTGGGACATTTTGTTCTTCGGCGAACATCCTATCCTCCGGCTAGTTCGGATAAACGAGGTTCTAGACCGATGATCAAGCAATTACTTAGTACAATACAATTACAATACACTTAATTCAATTAGTACAAGCAAATGCATACTTACCACGTGCACTAATTCCACACGATGTTCTGCTTTCGTCGGGTATACAGAAAAGCCTGATACAAAAATAAATATCGTTATAACTAATAATGTATAAGCCATACTGCAAAAAAAAAAAAAAATGTAACTTGAAATGTGAAAGTTTAAAACTAGAGCGGTACGTTTAACTGTGCGACCGCAGTTGTACGCTGTATTACAAGGCACTACAGGGATGTCATAAATTCCCTCCACTTTTCTCCGCACGTTTCAGGGTGCGCAGGAGCCAGTGGAAAACTCCGAGTTGACTTCAACGACAGTTGCGGAAAAAGTAGAAAGCTCCGGGACAAGGATAGATAGATTCTTGTCTCTCCAATGATTCTGTAAGGGAGACACAACAATCGGAGGAGAGACAAGGATAGAGCGATTGAGGCTAGCATGTGCGAACAGGACCGGTTTTAGCAATATTGGCGCCCCAGGCAAGATTATCGTGGCACCCCTTCAGAGGTTTGAAATTTTAAAGAAAAGAAGACAAGACAATAATATCAAACGATGAATCTATAACTACAATATACAGGGCGTCCCAAAAGTGTTGTAACACCTTGAAAGGGGTGATTCGGGCAGAGATGGGCAAACCCCTAGGCTTCGAATAAATCTGAAGTTTGCCGATATGTTTGTCTCGTTTCTTTTTTTGGAAAATTTTCGAAAGAGGAAATGAGACAAACATATCAGCAAACTTCAGATTTATTCGAAACCTAGGGTTTTGCCCATCACTGGATTCGGGAGGTGATTTGAAACAACTTTTTCCTTAGCGAAAATATTGTCCGAGGCTTCATTGAGGAGATATTAACAGAAAACACTGACCAATCAGAGCGCGAGTATGCCGGTGGAGCGGCCGCAGTAGCGTATGAGCGCAGCCGCCTAGCGCGTAGCCTACGCTCCACCGGCATACTCGCGCTCTGATTGGTCGGGGTTTTCGCTTAATATCTCCTTAACGAAACCTCTGACAACATTTTCGCTAAAGAAAAAGTTGTTTCAAATCGCCTCCCGAACCACCCCTTTCAAGGTGATACAACATTTTTGGGAGTTTTTATTTTATGTAAATAGACCTTTAATGCGCGAGAAGTGATGGGAGTTTGGGGAATTTTGTACGCCCTAGGGGGTGATCCTGTAACTTTTGTCGTGGTGAAAATGCGAGCCAACTCCCAATTCTTGACTCTGTAACTTTCACCATGGTGAAAATGCGAGCCATCTCACGGGAGTTTGTTCGATAAAAAATGTCTGCAGCACCCTCGATCACATGTATCAACGGCATTACTCGAGATACGAAATTGAATGACGTTTAACCTATCTTTTAGAAATACTAATCGCAATGAGAAGTTCGATTTTCTCTCACCCACCACCAAAATTTACTACGCAACGGCTTAGAACAAGGAGTTGTCATTTTTTCTTTTCGTGGAAGTCGATTTGATGACATGTTTTGGATGTTTTGTGACTAATGAGGTGCGTACTTTTTACCTGTTGACATCTAATCGCTAGTACTACTCTCATGTACTCTCTATCGGTCCCTTCATTTAATAGTAATACACTTATTACTATGAAGACGTCGATCAAATTACTGGAGGCACTGATTTTGAAATTTGTTATAACTAATCAACCAAAAATATTTGAGAAGTACGTATTATTTATTGCATAACTATTCAGTATATAGTGCTGCCAACTTTAAAATTATAGATCCACAATTGGCAACGGTTCCTTCGCGCAGATAAACCTTTCTTACTTAGTGTCTCTAATCGAATAATGAACTTAAATAAATTTAATATTTCCTCTGGTGTTTACACGTTATTATGCAGTTTGTAGGTTTAGTATACACAGATCCAAATAAAAAGAAGATTTTGTATACTGCGTTCGCAACTAATAATTAAAACGCAAACAAAAGCAAGCAAACTATACAGAAACATATCACTTGTTTTTTTTTTGTTTTTTTTTTAAATATATATAATAAATTACAATCATCATTAATTATCAATCTTGGAGAAATTCCAGTTTAATTAAACCTCACTTGTGTAATATCGATGGCGCATTTTTGGGCGCAAGTTCAGTGACTGCGACCGAAAAAAAACAAAAGAGCACATTTGATGACACAATTCTATTATAATCGAATAACACTCAAACTCAAAATAACTTGCAAGACATATGAGAGCAATTATGTAACTACATAATATTACATAACTGAATGATAATTTATTTACTATTTATCTAATGTATCTAATGTTTACAGTCTGCAGCCATTTTCAATAACTCTTACCTTTTTCTTTTACTGTACACTTCAGTTGACTAATTGGAAATTTTGATGAAACATTCTAGTCTCCACTTAATAATATGTTTCAAAGTAAAATTATCTGAAATCATTATTAATTTCAAATATACTTGAAAGAGAAAACTAAAACTTGTCATTACAAATAAGTATAATGTATAGGATGTATGATACAAATTATGAGATGTATATATTTAACAAAATAAAAAAAAAGTATTTTTTGCATAAAATATATTTTCAATAAATCAATTCTATTCTGTCCTTATATACCAAGTACAAAGAAAATATGTTTATTAAATATAAATGCAAAAGTAAAACAAAAGATTATTTGTTTCAAATATACTATTTATGTCAAGTTTAAAGAGCGAAATTGTTATTGATCAATCGTTTTTGGCACCAGTGCGGTTATAATACAGTACAAACATTCTTATATAAAATTCATGGACTTAAATGTAACAGCAAATAAAAATTCAAAATTTTGTATAAAAAAGGAATATTTAACGTAAAAATGTAAACTAAATTCTAATATTTCTATTGTAAGTATCTAATACCGATATTTAATCTCTTTATTATTCACACGTGCAAAAACGATAAGATAAGTTGATTGAGCTGATTCTTCTAATTATACATAATTAAATTAATTGCTTAGTCATTCATGTAAATGAAATTCATTCTCGGAAGATATTTAAAATGAAAATATTGTTTATCAGTATAGGATACAAGTATAGTTATTTACATTTGGTGTTCCATGTGTTACTGTTTTAGTATTTATATGCTTATTATAAATTCCTTATATGTAATAAATTATTGATATTACAAATTCATTACATGCGGGAAGTATACATTCCGCTGAAAAACATCGATGTACATTCGCACACAATTCGCGAGTATCCGTAGTGTATGTTACAATTTAATAAGGAGTTCAACAACATATTTACGATATTAATTTTTTAATAACACAAAATTGAAGATATCAGCCTATAAAGTAGTCAATTATTAATATACGATTTTTAGCATTTTTTTTATTACGTCGTAGATATTTTACAATTGGATCCTCTGCGAAATAGTAATCCATACTTATATTCTTTTTCCTACTTTGGGAAAATAGTTTGATATTTCAATATTATAAACTATACATTTTTTGCTTACATTTATATGAAACATGATTCAACAAATTTGTAAGAAAAATGTTCTAGCAAAATAGTCACCAAATTGTGAAATAATATTTACAAATAATAACTCGGTATATTGGTATATGGTATATTAATTTTTTATCTGAAATAATGTATAATTAAAATGAACTACTTTCATTCTGATGTCTTCAATTTATTTCCAATAAATCTCTTTTCTTCCGTTAAAACATTATCTTACGCACACATATATGTATCCATATATGTGTGTATTTATACATATACACGTATATGTTTGTATGTATATGTAACAAATTATATATTACCTAAATTAGACGTAGAGTTTAGATAAGATTTTGTTCTGAAAATATTTAATAAGTTTGTAGATAAATTTTCTATAGCCATTATTTTATATGTAATGAATGCTGTTAAACGTTTGTCTTACTGTTGAGTAATGCAATTAATATAATTTCAATGAATGATAGGAATCGTAAAATACAGACACTTCACTTCACATCAACATTATGTCAGGATCCTTAAAATTTCTTCCACAATTCCTGACATTAATGTATTATTGTCACCTTTGCCTTCAATTAACAAATTGCCCAATGATTTCTGCAAAAAGATAATTTCATCTTACATTAGGATCACTTATTTCTTATATTTTTTCTTAATACTCGCAAGTTAAAAGTGTTGTTTTTCACTCACATCATATTTTAATAAAAGGCACACATGATGTCCTTTTAGAGATTGTCCATATACAGATGCAGTGTCTTTAATTTTTTCCACAAGTGTGAGATTACACTTAGAGCAGATTAAATTTAATGTAACATCAAAGTCTTGAGAAAGAGCTATATCTTTTCTGATTTTGTGTATAAGTTGGCCACTCTTAAGTAATTCTGTCAGTATATCTTTGTGTGAAAGATGTCCAAACATAAACTTACTGCACGGCAAAGGTATAGTAAAATCAAGTTTTTCCTGCAATGTACTTTCTTTGTGTTCTAACATATACGTAAATGTGCCCCTTAATTTCTGAGCAAAAGTTACCTCCGAAATTAAAATAGTAAATTGTGTTTCTTTACTAGTATCTGGAGGCAGTTGAAATGGCAGTTTTATACCAAATTCATCTCCTAGCTAAAAAAAGAAGAAGTATCTCATTTTGTCATTATGCTTAATAAATGTTGTGTACAATGTAAAAACTAGTAAATTTAAACTGACATGCGATTAAGAGGTTACTTATAAATTGCTATATAATTTTTCTCTACTTAATGTTGACTTCCATTAACTTACATTTCTCATTAATTTCAGTGAGGATGTATCTAGAACGTCAAAAACTAATTCTTTCACAAGTTGTTGACAATTATTTTTAATGAGTATTGATGCAAGTAATTTATTTGACTCGTGAGGAATATGTTTTAATTCATACATTATAGAAAGTATTTTATTTTTAACTAACTCTTCGTATGAAGTCAATTGTTGGAGTAAGGTTGTATTTTCTTCGGAATTTGAAAAATTATATCTTAGATCTGGTAATATTTCTTTCGACGGCGTTGAGATTCCAGCTGTTTCTTCGTAATCTGAAGATTTTTTATCCCTTTTACTTTTAGACTTCTTTGATTTTCGATGTTTTGAATCGTCATCGTGAGCTTTCTTATGCTTCTCCTGGTGTTTTGATTTTTTACGCTTGACATCTCTCTGTTCCGAATCTTTTTCACCGAATACCTCTGTATACTCATTAATATCAGTAGTTTGACTTTTTTCCGAAGAAATATTATTTTCCAACCACATATCAGTTAGTTCCAACTGATTGTCATATCGTTTCTCTTTCATTTCTTTAACTTTCTTTTTAGATTTTTTATGTCCCTAGTAAACACAATTTAATAAAGTAATGTCATTTATTAAACTATAAATAATACTTAATTTTTAATCAATGTTAACGGTTATTATATAAAAATATTTAAAACGTAAGTAGATACAGAATAAAAAATTACTTTTTCCTTCTTATTTCCTTTAACTTCAACATTTTCTTGAATCAAATTATTTTCAATAACTCTGTGCTCTAAAACAGGTAATCTTTCGTCTTCTCTCAAAGGCATATCTAGGTCAATATTTAAAGCTCTATGTGGATCATTTGCATCTACTTTATCATAGTCATCGCTGTCACTTAGTTCTGCACCTGGTGGAAGTTCACCTATACCTGTATTGACTACTTGAATTGGATAATCATCGTCCTGCTCGTCTTCGGAAGCTGATTTTTTGTCTACCCGAGTTTGAATAATTAAAATTAATGTTCAAGTACCGCGAAATATACATAGAGTATTATATAAAATTTAAACATACTTTTTTTGGATTTCTTCTTCTTTTTACCGTGTATTTTATACCTCTTATGATTGTTTATAACTTTTAAAGACACTGGGATATCCAACTCCACAACAGGAATGTTTTCAAACTCTTCATAAATATTCGATGAGTTATGATATGATGTAGAATTCTTGAACGTGCCTTTTAAGTAATGAGGATTGTTTTGTTGTTCCATTTTTCTTGCTTCACGACGTTTTTCAAGTTCTTCTGGCGATGGTTCATTAAATTCTCGTTTAGAATAGGAATCATTTGTTTTATCTGTTTTAATGAAAATATCATTCATATCTAAATCTTCTGAATCCGAACTTTCCGATGGCGGATCATTAATCCATGAATCTAAATCGAGATCTTCAGGAATTGGCACCTAAGGAAGAACAAGATAATATTTCAATTGTATACAAACTTTCACCATACAAGGAACTTCTATACACCTTATGTAACAAACATTTTATTGAGATGGAAAAAATATGACAGACAATAAAGAGAATTGTTACCTTTCTTTGTGCTTTAGGTGCAACAGGATTAAGTTCACCTTCGAATGCTTCCATCAGCTCCTGTGCCAAACCAGGATTTTCTTTCAAACATTCAAGTAAAACTAATGCAGAACTAGATCTTTCTTGAACTTCTAAGTCCCCACTGCACACAAAAGCTGCTATTTTATCTTTCAGTTCATAAATCTATAAAATAGAAAACCGTTTACATATTTTCACAATGTCATAATTCTTGGTAAATTTTATATAACATTTTATTATTTTATTATACCTGGTTTATTACTTCAGTATCCCCATTTTTTTCAGCAGTACATAATGTTGCTGTAGCAAGTTTCAGAATATTATGAACATAAACAGCTTGAATATGTCCCGGTAAACTAGAAGCTTGTGATCGTAACATCGACTGTAATGTTGCTAGAGGGTCGTCTAATTCACTATTAATTCAATGTGTTATCAAATATATTTCAATCCAACTATTAATATGAAACGATAGAAATATATTATACAATACCTGGAGAACTCTCCACAAATCCATGCAGCAGCATATAAAACTTCAGACATTGTTGCTCTTGGCTGACCTGTTAAAAGGTACGAGTTCTCCAGCAATAAGGCACATTGTTGAACTGCATATTTTCGTATAGCTTGTACACGAATCGCTACATCAAGTAATTGAGTTGCTACTAATGGTCCATGTTTAGTACCTTCCATTCGTGTAAGTTCAACCAATACAGATATGTACCTAGAAATATGGGTATGTGTTGTGTAAATTATATAGCTAAATAAAAAATAAATGTTTTGTATGTATATCATTACTTTACCATTCAAAGTATGTAACAAATTGATAGTTATTTTGTGAACAGATTTGAATAATTTTTGAGAGTAATTCATCTCGATAAGCAGTGCCCTCTGCTTTATCCATATGCACCATTAACTTCTTAACTATCTCCATCAAATTTTTCTTTGAAACCATTCCATACAGTAAATCCAAGGCACGCAATCTTATACTTTCATCTTTATCGTCCAAGCATTGCATTATAAGATCTTTGTGAGCTTGTACGCTCTTAGGATGAGTCTTTAAAATTTTCGACATTGCTAGTAATCCCAAGTATTTCAAATTTTGATCAGAATCTTCTATCAGTATCCTCA